GAATTAGTGAATTACAGTTGCGGCCATGGACCCATTACTCCAATTTGAAAGCTGCCCCTGTTTGTGGTGTGTATTTAATGCACCACGATGCTGGCAATTATTTAATACCACCACCGTATTATTTATTTTACAAAATAATTTACGGTACAGTAATAGTTTTATATTAACAATAAATGTTTAATAAATAGTGATGCAGTGCGTGGTAGACAAAAGGGATACAAGAATTTGAAAAACTCAAGAAATTTTCAAGTAGACAAAAGGGATACAAGAATTCAAAAAACTCAAGAGATTTTCAATTTCAATCGTGAACTGTTTTATTCATTGATAGGAATACAATAAATAGACCCAAAGACTCCTAATCCTACTAATTATCTTGTTAAGCAAGATAAATATTTATTTTCCAAATAATCCTAGATAAATAAGGAATAAAATAAAAGGATGCATAAATAGGAAATAAATAAACTAAACATAGAAATTAAATATTAAATACGAAGTCGGTCGAACTTATCCAGGAATGTCATCGCGGCTTTATCTCCATCATTCTCCCCCTGTTGGGAAGGATTCGCTCTCGAATCCGAAGTGGCTTCATCTCCGTTCGAGTTATCGTCAGTGAACGGGACCAAATGTTTGACGTTAAAAACGTCAGAAGTCCGAATATGAGAGGGGAGGTGGAGGCGGTAAGCATTCGGATTGATCTTCTCGAGGGCCTCGACTGGGCCAATCTTCCAGGGCGACAATTTGTTGTACTCGTGGGCCGAGAACCGATCCTTAGTCAAAACCGCCCAAACATAATCGCCCACCTCAAACTCAACATGCCGTCGACGTACGTCAGCCCTCTTCTTGTAGGACGTCGTCGCCTCCTCGAGACGAGCTCGGGCCGCCGCATGGCCCGCCTGTAGGTCGGCTATCACATCCGTCGCCCTCCGATCCGCCGCAGCCCGGGACGACAACGATAATAAATTCGCAGGACCCCAAGGCTGCAAACCATAAACGATCTGAAAAGGAAAGAACCCGGTGGACTTGCTAACAGTCGAATTGTGTGCGAATTCGGCCTGACTGAGCCGCTGGTCCCAACACCGAAGGTTGTCTCCCACCAAACACCTAAGTAAATTCCCCAACGAGCGATTCACAACCTATGTCTGTCCATCAGTATGAGGATGATAGACGCTACTAAAATCCTGTCGGGTATTGGCCATACGCCACAAGCTATGCCAGAAGTGGCTCACAAACCGAGTATCTCGATCCGAGACAATGGAAGAAGGAAGGCCATGCAGACGATAGATCTCCCAGAAAAATAGTTGTGCCACGTGAACCGCGTCGGTGGTGCGCTTGCAAGGAATGAAGTGCACCATCTTCGAGAAACGATCGACCACCACAAAAATCGAATCGAACCACCGCTGAGTGCGTGGCAAGCCTAACATAAAATCCATGCTAATCGCAAGCCATGGCTGAGACGGAATGGAAAGAGGACGATAAAGGCCCGCATTAGAGGCGACCCCCTTGGAAACTTGGCACACTCGACAACGACTCACAAAGCGAGTGACATCATGGTGAAGAGTCGGCCAAAAATACGAATGACGCACCAACTCAATCGAACGGTCACGGCCAACATGTCCCGCGCCATGGAGTTTGGCAATAAGTAACTGCCGCAGGCTACAGTCTAGCACGCAAAGACGAAATCCCCGAAACAAAAATCTGTCAGTCAACGAGTAGTCATCAACCGGGCCGTTCTTCAAACGACGCACAATGGGCCCAAAAAAAATATCGCCGGAATAAACCTCACGAAGTAGCTCAAATCCAACCACAGACACACGCATTTCCGTCAGCAATAACGAACGGCGGCTAAGAGCATCGGCCACCTTGTTCGAGGAACCCGAACGATGCCTCAGAACAAAAGTGAACTGCTATAAATAGGCCGACCACGAAGCATGTCGTGCAGAAATGTTGTCCTGGGATGCAAAATGGCGTAGAGCCTCATGATCCGAGTACAAAACAAATTCTCGGTGAAAGAGATAATGCCTCCAGTGACGAACCGCCCGAACAACCGCATAGAACTCAATGTCATACGTACTGTATCGCGAACGTGGGCCGGAAAGCTTCTCGCTAAAGAACGAGACAGGCCACCCATCCTGACTAAGAAATCACCAATACCGACCTTCGAGGCATCACAAGAGAGCTCGAAAGGACCCGTAAAATCCGACAACACTAAAATAGGAGCCGTCGTAAGCTTGGCCTTTATGAGAGTAAACGCCTCCTCGGCAGCCGGAGTCCATGTAAAACTCTTCCTCTAAAGACAATCGGTAATTGGGGCCGTAATCGAACTGAAGTGGGCAATAAACTGACGATAGAAGGAGGCCAAACCATGAAAGCTACGAGCTTCCGTGAATGACGTAGGAGTCGGCCACTCTCGGATGGCGGCTACCTTAGAGTCATCCATCTGAATACCGTCTGCCGAAATGACAAAGCCCAAGAAAAGCACCGAAGACACCATAAACAGGCACTTCCGAGGTGCCGCATAGAAAGATTCGGCCCGTAGGATGAGTAAAACAAGCTGCAAATGATCATCGATACGACTATAGATAAGAATATCATCAAAATAAACGACGACACACTTACCTATCAACTCCCGCAGTGCCTGGTTCATAACCCTCATAAAAGTACTGGGTGCACTGGACAACCCAAATGGCATAACCAGCCACTCATAGAGCCCCTCCTGAATCTTGAAGGTTGTCTTCCACTCATCTCCCGGACGAATCCGGATTTGATGATACCCACTCCGAAGATCCAATTTCGTAAAAACGTTTTCCCCATGAAGCTGATCCAACAAATCATCCAAGCGGGGAATAGAAAATCGGTAACGTACCGGGATTTTGTTGATTGCGCGACTATCAACACACATACGCCACGAACTATCTTTATTGGGAATGAGCAGTGCAGGCACCGCATAAGGACTCAAACTGCATCGGACTACACCCCGCTGAAGGAGCTCCTCGACCTGGCGCCTCAATTCTTCGTGCTCTGCTGGACTTATGCGATAATGAGGCCGGTTAGGCAGGGAGGCACCCGGCGTCAAGTCAATGTTGTTCTGAATGTCCTGCAAAGGTGGTAAATCGGTCAGAAGCTCGTCTGGGAAGATGTCAGCAAACTCTGTCAACAAAGGGTGGATAGCGGCCGGAGGTGTACTGTCGTCTACGTGCTCCGTGCCTAGTAGAAGGAACACAACGAGTTCTGTCTTCATCTCAACCTCAAACGCCGCACGAGAAAGAAAATAGACCGGATTCGCAACTCGGACTCATCAGCAAAAAGGTTACAAGGCCCTCGTGGACATGCAGCTTGACGGTGACCGGATTCGCCACACGCAAAGCACCGCGGCCCGGACCCCATGCGAGACCCCCCAGGCCCTCCTGCCGCGGCTGTCAAAGTCCCCTGGCCTGCCACCCCAGCCCGATTGACTACCTGGGCCGAAGCCGACGTGCCTGGCTGCTGACCCGACCCAAAAGGGCGGCCTATTGCTGCCGCTGTAGCCGTGGCTCCACCGCGCGAAGCCGGCGAAAAGAAAAACGAGGACCGTCTCGCCTGCTGCTGTTCGACCATAACAACACGTTGGTGAGAGTCCAAAACTGAATCTGGAATGAAAAGGTTCAAAGTATCCTGGATCGGTAAACGCAAGCCCCCGAGATATCGGGACACTAATTGATCGTCTGTCTCTCAAACATCAATACGAGTAAGAAGCCGATAGAATTCTTTCGTATACTCATCAACCGTACGATTCTCCTGTCGCAACAACAGAACTTTTGATAGATAATGCGAGCATAATTAAATGGCAAAAACTCACATTTAAGATGTTTACGAAATTTAGCCCAAGAAACAATTTTTTGATTACCCATACAATGCCGCGCCCCTTTCAACTGCGAGTACCAGGCCGCCGCCCTTCCCCGCAAACGAGTCGCTATAAGAGCAACTCGTCGATCCTCTGGAACCTCCTTGACGAGGATTGACTCCACAACGGCGAGCCAATCGAGAAACTCCGCGACGTCGAGCCCGCCCGAAAATTCTGGCACATCCACACGAAAGCCAGCCTCCCAGCGGAAGTCGCTGCCGTCGCCACCGCGAGGTGGTCCGTCGTGACCATCCCAGCCCTCGTTTGCCCGGAAATTCGCACGCCGCTCGCCTCGAAATTTGTCCCGTTGGTCCCGTCGAACGCCGAAGGGGTTGACGTCCGACAAAGTGTCCTTGTCGCTTTCGTTCTGGCCGTACGCTGATCGTGGTGACTGCGGTCGAGGCGCCCCGATCGGTCCTCTTCCGCCACGTCCACCCCGGCCAATGGTGTCACGGTTCGTCTGTTCGCCGGCTATCATGTTACGCATCGCCAGCCGGATTTCCTCGATCCCCTCAGAAAGACCTTCAACTCGGCGATCCACCCGTTCGATTTGGAACATGAGGTCATCGGTCCGTCGATCCAAATCCTCGAGATGGGCATCCCGACATTCGTTGTCGTTTCGTTTTGGCGGCATCTGGAGTCGTCCCGACAGCTGATACCAACTGATGCAGTGCGTGGTAGACAAAAGGGATACAAGAATTCAAAGAACTCAAGAGATCAAGAGATTTTCAATTTCAATCGTAAACTGCTTTATTCATCCATAGGAATACAATAAATAGATCCAAAGACTCCTAATCCTACTAATTATCTTGTTAAGCAAGATAAATATTTATTTTTCAAATAATCCTAGAAAAATAAAGAATAAAATAAAAGGATGCATAAATAGAAAATAAATAAACTAAATATCGAAATTAAATATTAAATACGAAGTCTGTCGAACTTATCCAAGAATGCCATCGCGGCTTCATCTCCATCAAATAGTTACTAAATTGGACAATTATTTTTTTTTTGATTTGATGTAGCAAATTAATAAGACGAGAGAATAAATAATAAATTGCAGACAGTATTTCACGAGCAGCTTCTGATATTAGATCCACACTCACACAGTTACTGTGCGTATATATATATATATATATATGTGACAACTCTATTTATCTATCTATATCTATCCTCTTCTCTCTGGAACACACTCTTTAGCTGGATCATTCTCACTCTCAAATAGGGCCCAAAGCCGCGTGAGAAAATAGGGAATTTTGTTCTTGACTGTGTGTGTGTGCGCGCGCGCCCAATCGGGTAATGGAATAGGGAGCTGAGTAGAAAGGACAAATCTCGGTTTGGAGAAAAATTCATGAAAACGCGCAGCAGAATAGGCTGAAATTCAGGATTCCAATTTTAGTCGATTTTTGATTCATTCGGCGAGTTCCGCATATTTCAAGGTAGACATTGAAAATGGAGAGCTGTTGCTTGTGCTACTGCTTTTCGCTTGTTGTTTTGTGTTTTCTTGTTTTTTTCTTTTTGATTTGTTCGGAAATTCCTTTTATCGATGCTCTCATCCAAAAAGATTGTTTTTTTGGGTATTCATTTCTGGTTGTGCTTTATTTTATCGGGTTGATCGAAGTAAGCTGAATCGCAGTTGCAGCTCGGCTTGCTTATCATTAATTTCAGGGTGATTGAGGCAAGGACTTGTCTCTAGAGCTTGTTATCTGAAAATTTGTTTATGTTAAGACGTGAGAGTCTGAGAGATGTATATCCGCTTTATATAATTTCCCATTATCGAACTTTCAAAAATGGATTTAGATTTCTGATTCTGCTTTTACTTGGAAGTGTCACATGTTCACTGTAAAAAGGCATTATAAAAGTTCTTCATCGATATTATTATAATAGTTGCTTTCTTTATGTCATAGGATCTCATTTTGCATTTACTATGGTTTGGGATGTGTGAGATTTTTGAACAGATCTAGTTCAGGAGACCGTGTTACCTTGTTTATCACCACCCTTTCTCTTTCTTTTTTTAAGGGCTTCATTGATTATCGTCTTTATGTTGCTCTGTTTCAGTTTGGGTCTCACATTCTGCTATAATCATTCCTGTTTTGGGGTTTATTAGGTTGTAAAAATGTCGAGACCTCTTCATCGAGGTGTGTCCGGTGGCGGCAGTCGATTTTCAGGCAACAGTCAAGATTTTTGGGAGGATTCTCAGATGAAAGAGAAGCCAGAGAAGGAAGATATTGATCGTAATCGTGCAAAGGGAGCTGATCATCCACATTTATCTTTTAGATTTCCATTTTGGTTTCTATTTGCAGATTGTTTATCTTCAAAGAATGGTTTGAGTGAGAACGGTTTTATGTCCGACCCCTTTAGCCCCGGCCCCCACAGAAGCCGCCATAAATTGACACTCTCTCTGCTCAGAATCAGTTTAGTTGTGATTGTATTTCTTGCTTTAACGGGCTCTTTCTGGTGGACACTCTCTATGACTTCCATATCAAGAGCACAGATTTATCACGGATACAGACGCCTTCAACAGCAGCTGGTATCAGACCTTCACGAAATTGGGGAGCTCACGATTGGTTCTTCGAGGTTTAGGGAACTGAATTTCTGTTCTCAGGATTCGGAAAACTATGTGCCATGCTTCAATGTTTCTGAAAATCTGGCCTCAGGATTTTCTGATGGTGAGGAGTATGGTCGGCACTGTGGGCTGGGTTCGAGAAGTAATTGCTTGGTGATGCCACCTGTCAATTATAGAATTCCTCTACGGTGGCCTGCCGGGAGGGATGTTATCTGGTTTGCCAATGTTAATATTACGGCTCAGGAGGTGCTGTCCTCTGGAAGCTTGACCAAGAGGTGAGAGGACGGTTTTTGTTTTACAATTCAAACAGAAATTTGAGGCTGGTATTTTTTCTGTATATATTTTTGTTAATCTCCATGTCTTGTGATTACAGAATGATGATGTTGGATGAAGATCAAATATCATTTCGTTCAGTATCATCTACTTTTGATGTCGAAGACTACTCGCACCAAATTGCAGGAATTATCGGGCTAAGAAATGTATCCTACTTTACAGAAGCTGGGGTAAGTGGATTTAATTTTTCTCGTATTTTTCTACAATGATCTCTTTTTGCTTGTCGTTTGCTGGGACATGTGAATTCTGCAAAAGAGTAAGTGCAGAAATTGGTAAGTGTCTGAATCACATATTTGTAGAGTAAAAGAACATCGAGTTAGTAAATGACATTTGATTAAGAAAATGTTGTCCTGTGGTATATTCTGTGGCTTTTATTTTGTTTACTGGGTTTGTAGTCTTGTAAACGGTTTCCTGTTGGGTAAAGCTAAGCTTTTTTCTCCTATGTCTGGTAAACTTTCTATGTAGTAGACACTCTCTTCAAGTATTAACTCCATAGTAACTTGTTATGCTTTGACAAACTTATCATTTGTTTACTAGTGATGTTCATTTAATCTGACAGCAACATACTCTTGTATCTACTTGTCTGGATTTTTTTTGTTTTTTTTTGTTTTTTTTTTGTTTGCAGTAATGCGGGCTGCTCACTAGTCAGTGTTTCAAGAGTATTACAGTGACTTTCTGTTCTATTTCAGGTTCGGACCATCCTCGACATAGAATGTGGCTATGGTAGTTTTGGTGCCCATCTATCATCCAACCAGTTATTGACCATGTGTCTAGCGAATTACGAGGCATCAGGCAGTCAAGTGCAACTAACTTTAGAAAGAGGTCTTCCTGCAATGATTGGTTCATTTACTTCGAAGCAGTTGCCATATCCATCTCTTTCATTTGACATGGTACATTGTGCACGATGTCGGATTGAATGGGACAAAAAAGGTGCAATAAATTTTTTTAACTAGTTTAATTTTTCAGTATCGAATAACTAAATATAAAACGATGCTTTACCCTTAAATGAGCAATTCCCTATAAATAATTGTACAATAGAAGGCTAGTGTTAAATGTTAGCTTATGATGATATTTGTAATTTGTTAATAGGATGGAATTTATGAGAGAAATTGGTTCATTTCTTTGGATAACGGTGGTTGTTAAAGAGTCAAATATTTACTAAAGGGTCACTTTCTGTGTAATGGCACGTGAATCTTGGCTTTCGCACCCTCCTATACAAGGCCTCCCACAAACATATTATATTAATATAACCTGCTGTCAGATTGAGAACTAGAGAGAACATGCAAGGACTTGAAAAGTTAGTCAACACCGAGTCTCATCTTCTTTTGTACCATCATTATCAAAGAACCGAAACAGAGAAAGCTTAGTTAGAAAACCACTGACTCATGCAACCAAGCCCATGGAATCATGATCAAGCTCGATTGAGTTTCATCCAATCACATGTTTATACTTTTATACCATACAAAATAAATGGAAGTTCTATCATTCGGAAGAATCTATTTTTTTGTTGTCCCATGAATCTCCTCACGTGGTGCAGATGGCATATACTTGATCGAAGTCGATCGTTTGTTGAGACCTGGGGGCTATTTTGTGTGGACTGACCCACTTACAAATTCTCAGCGTTCACTTCGCAACAAAGATAACCTAAAGAGATGGAACACAGTCCGTTTGCTAACAGAAAGCCTCTGCTGGGAGATGTTGCCACAGCAGGACGAAACTGTTGTGTGGAAGAAGACTAGTAAGAAGAAATGCTACTCAACAAGGTAAGGCTCAAAGAGCATGCATGTATTAATATTCTCTTCATAAGCCACCCATGAAATTCCAAAACGGTGTTTCATGACATATTTTCAGAAATTTTCCAATTTTGTTTGTGTTCATTAGAAACATAATGATATCTTTGAACAGAAGCGTAAATTCACAGAATAGATTGAGGTAAGTGATAAGAGCAGGTTGAACGTCAAATTAGACTATAAGCATTTTGCACGAACAGAGTAGTTTAGGAACTTCTTCCTGTGTTTGGTCCAAAAGTATTTTTTGTAATTAAATTATGTTGTAGCTGCATGGATGAGGAAAAAGTTCTCTATTTCCAGGAAAAGTGGATCCCCTTCTCTATGCAATAAAGGACATGACATTGAGACCCCATATTATCGCCCCCTCCAGTCGTGCGTTGGAGGAACTCAAAGCCGCCGATGGATTCCTATTGAAGAAAGGAGAAAATGGCCTTCCCAGGCCAAAATGAGCTCAGCAGAACTAGAAATCCATGGTAGAATTCCTTTGACATATAACTTTGAACTTTGTATCTTCGCTGAGTTGAGCTGCATGCGATCATATGTAGGGGCTATTTGAAATCAGTAGAAAAAGTTACTGTCTTCTTCTAACCTACAAAAATTCTATTAGTGTCTTCAATTATGCATAAATTTTTATGATAATCTATAACTAACGAGGGTGCCTTAGATTTCTGATTTTGCTTCAGTTTTGCGTTTCATAAACAAATAGACGCCTTTACAACTTATTCACTTGCCTGACAGTCATTTAACTTATCAACTTTTAGTGCCTGATACTCTGATATAACTTTATTAAACCAGAGTAGAGTAAGGCTGCCAATGAAGCCGGAAGTGAGTTTGACATTGTTACTTGCGGATTTTTAGTGTCCATTCACAAATATCACCCACATTTGATTGTTCCATGATTTTTCATTTGTAAAGATCCTGAAGCTGAAAATCTAGTAGTAGTACATGTTGCCTGATAATAAAATCTAATGATGTTCTCTTTTCTGTTAGGTTTGCACTCAGAGGAGTTTAATGAAGATGCTATTAATTGGAACTATGCAGTTCGCAACTATTGGTCACTTCTTTCACCGCTGATATTTTCTGATCATCCTAAGAGGCCTGGCGTTGAAGATCCTTCACCACCTTACAACATGCTGAGGAATGTGTTGGACATGAATGCACGTCTCGGTGGATTTAATGCTGCTTTATTGGAAACTGGGAAATCTGTGTGGGTGATGAATGTGGTCCCTACGAAAGGACTAAATACGTTGCCGTTAATACACGACCGCGGATTTGTTGGGGTGCTGCATGACTGGTAATTTCGACTTTAGTACTTTCTCAGTCCCGCTAATAGGTCAAAATTGATATATGTAAGTATAGAATCGTCATATTCTTATTTCTTAAATTAGGACTTGTAATCTATAATATTTCTATTGTTAAAAAGATTTAGTCAAATGGAGGTCACATCACTTGCTTTCTGCAATAGAAATTTTGAATGGAGTCGTCTCTCGAGCAGGCTTTGTTTGAGTGATCAGTGATCAGATCATCTGAGACCTAATTTATAGAACTAATCCAACTTAGTACTATGCTTTCCTCGAGCATTCATGAGGAAACATGGGAACTCTTATAACTATTTGTGAGCGTAAATAGTAATAATAACATGCAGTTAGCCAGTTATTATGGCTCATGTAGTTTAGGGTTCTCATCAAGGAGCACCATTCCTTAGGAGCAATTTAAGTAAATAGAGATATTCCTTAGGAGCACCACTTGTAAATAAATATATTGTATAGTTTAACCGCTGATGCCATTTGGTGCCCTTTTCTTTTTGAGAATTCCATAATTTTCCTTCTCTATAGGGGGGAAAATCAAGAGAGAAGTAGTTCATGAAAGAGATAAATCTTTTGAGTTCTGAGATGAATTGAGAGTGAAAATTTAGACAACTTACTTGTACCTGAAATCATGACTTCATGAGGATGCCAGGGTAGATGAATTTAATGATGCAGCAATTTTGATGAAACAAGCGAACATAATTTAACTTTCTTACATATTCATCATTAGTTTGTTGTCATGGACTCTGGTTTGTGCAGGTGCGAACCATTTCCAACATATCCACGAACATATGATCTGGTCCATGCGGATGGACTTCTCTCTCTTGAATTTGATGACAAGCCAAGATGCCAAATGCTAGATTTGTTTGCTGAGGTAGATCGTATACTTCGTCCAGAGGTATGATTATTATTTCTACTTCTAAAATCCATCTTAATTAAAGTTCCTTCCATCAATAAAATAAATAGACGAATTTGAACAAAGTTCACAATCTGATAATGTGATTAAGAAATCTTAAAGACTTTTTATGATTTTAGAAATCCTGGTGTATTTAATTTAAGACTTCTCAATACTTTTAAAAGTCTTGGGGTATTCATTTGGGATTTTAAAAAGTCTTACAAAATTTTGAGCTATTTAACTTATTTGAGACTAAGATTTTGTTAATACTTTTCAAGATTTGCTAGGATTTCTAAAGAAAAAAACATATACGAAATCCCACTCCAAATTCTACTTCCAGACTTAAAAACATATACGAAATTCTACTCTAAATTCCACCTCCACCTCCAGGGGTGTGTTCATTTGGGATTTGTAGTGACATTTTGAAACTTTTTGAGATTTGAGACTTTTTAAAATTGTCATATTTTAGAGGAATCATGTGAAATCTTAAGCTTGGAGGTGGGATTTTGAGTGAGATTTTGTGTAAGTTTTTTCTTTAGAAATCTCAACAAATCTTAAAAAGCTTTAACAAATCTTAGTCTCAAATAAGTTAAATACCTCAGGATTTTGTCAGACTTTTTAAAATTCCAAATGAATACCCCACGAGTTTTAAAAGTCTAAATTAAATACACCATTATTTCTAAAGTCTTAAAAAGTCTTTAGAAATCCTAATTAAATACACCCCTTAAGATTTCACAGGATTCCTCCAAAATTCGAAAATCTTCAAAAATCTCATAAAGTCTCTAATTGTCATTCAAAATCCCAAACGAATACACCACCTAAGAATTGTGTCCAAATATCTATAGCTTATGCATAACTACAAAACTACGCCCTATGGTAAAAAAAAAAAAAAAAATTGACGAAAACGTTTTCACTGTCCCCCCAACAGCATGTAATATATATACATAAACGAATTCAAGAGCTTATTTGTAATATCATAAGATAATCAAAGTCTTTTGGTGAAACCCAAATGTAGGGATGGTTGATTCTGAAAGACGGTACTCGACTAATCGAGTATGCAAGATCTCTAACGACGCATCTGAAATGGGATGCCCGAGTCGTCGAGATCGAGAGCAATAGTGACGAGAGGCTCCTCATCTGCCAGAAACCGTTTTTCAAAAGACAGTCTGCGTGATTTCGTCTAAATATATTTTTATAGATTATCGTATATGATGCATTTATAATCGCAAATTCATTTATGAGGATCTAAATTTTATACCGGAACACAAAAAGCTTCCACCTCCTAAAGGGGTGGATGGAAGTTTTTGAACCGAATAGACAGATAAAACGGTACAGGGGCAAAAATATGCATAATGGATTGCTGGGAATGAGCTGCAAACTCCCTATGGAGCTGCAAGGCGGACATAGGGCCGTGTATATTTACATTAAAAAGGGTATGGCTTCTTCTTGTGTTGTCTCATTGGAAGAACTGAGAAAAGTTACAGAATATATTTAATTGTGGAATTTTTTACAGTAATTTTTTTTATTATTGTGTTGTGTATAGCAGCAACGTGTAATACAATATGTGGAAGTTGTCTTTGTTTTATTTTATTTTTGACGGACAGTATTTGGGTACCGACTCTAATTGCGATGCGTAATTGTTTCATTGCAACCTTCATATCTTTTGTTTTAGTAACAATGGAAGATTTACTGATTTTTTTGTTCTTACAATGTAAACTAAAAATTGAAAATTACAATAGAACATAAGGTGGGAAGAGTATAGCCTATGCGAGAATATCTTTTTGCAAGATAAATATGCTCCATGTTGTGTTGATTACTCTTTGTGTCTTCTCCTTCAAGATACAACCATAATTGTTTCGCATATTGTAGCACACCAGACTTCAGAGTTCCGGTGAACTAAAACAGAGTCAAGAATTGAGCACTATGTAAGATTTGTGAAGCTATCAGTTGAGAGTAAGGATACATATGTATCTTTAAAGTGTTTGCTGCTATCTAAAAACTTTTAATGAGTTTCAACTTAGACACGAAAAATCATGAGTCAGCTATCACTTAAGAAAGAACTTTTTATAGAGTTCCAACTTAGGCAGAAGAAACCATGAGTCAGCTATCACTTAAAGTTGGGAACAACCTACTGACTACTACTATAAAGGGTATAAAAACTGTCAGACCGTTCTCAGGTGTTAAACACACCACTTGATAACTTCCGAAACGGTCAGGCGAAGTCAACATGTTGAAATGAAAAGAGTCAACTTGTATATGAAGAGGTCCACACGAATTGGGTCAGAACCTGAATCCAAATCTAACTCAATTTGAATTTTAATATTGGACCACATCAAATAAATTTGCAGTTAAAATATTATAGGGGCTGGGGCTCAAGGTCCAAGCCCAACACTGGCCAAAACCGTCCAAGGTCTTCTAAGTCCAGCTCACGATCCAATTTTCAAGTATCCAGGTCCAAGATCTAAGGCCATGGCTCGAGCTAGTTTTCAAGCTGAGCCGGCTGGCGGGCAAGATGGAACGCGTGCGCGGGTGTGGCCTAAGCTAGCACAAATACTTTGTGCATAGCTTTAGTTGTTGTTGTGACCTTTTCAACTCTCTTTATTCTAATAAAAAGAGTTGTCCTCATTTAAAAGTCAAATGCGGAATAGGTCTTTTGACCCTTCGAATCCCACAATTTTAACCGTTTCTTTCAAACTCACTAAAAATATATTTTGAGAAAATAGATGTACAACGAATATCTATTCAGAACGCAAAATTTTTGTACACGATTTAATTAAACATGAATTAAATTTTTGCCATAAAAAATCTGTCTTAATTGAATCAAACTCAATTTTAATTAACCGGTTTTCCAACAACCCCCCCATATGAGTGGAAATCAATGTATGCTTTTATGTGAACTCTTCTGCTCAATCTTTACAAAACTCTATTTCATAATAAAAAATAGCTTGTGACTTTGAACCTTTCTTAGTAAATATTATCGGATGTACTAGTGGCTTAGTGGGCATAATGCCTTGAACTATTCCTCCATAGTGTACACAAAGACAATGATAATCACAAATAGAGCCTTAAGTCTATTTCGTTCTATTGTCTTGTCTGTTTTGGCTATGGACAATGGATAACACTTTGGATTCATACGTGTTTACATTTGAAGCGAACCTCACTTTATATAAGTGATCTCCTTATCAAGAGTCATGTATACTACATCTTTAAAAAGTTAGAGATTCATTAAAAGTCTAGAAGGCCTACACTCACCACACTCAACGAGTAATTTTGCACTTAGATTGCTTTAGGGAAGAGCCTTAGGACGATCTTATATTCCTAAGTGTTCAATTGAATTTCCATAGCTTAAATTTCCCCTTGAACCAAGTTCATGGAATCTCCATTCAGCTAGGTAGGGTTACCACTATGATCATTCTTTTTATTTTGTATTTTTAAGAGCATTCCCACTAGGAATCTTCCCAATTAATCTATATTCATTCCTTTATTAAAATGATCAGCCAAATTTTCCTTAGACTTTACATAGTCAATGGAAATAATATTATTTCTGATCAATTGATGAACAATATTATGTCTATGATAAATATGCCTAGACTTAGTTATGCATGTTTCGTTGCGCCCTTCTTCTAGCAGCTTGGTTATCACAGTGAATCATCACAGGCAGCAAATGCTTACTGCAACATTAATATCAGATAAAACATTCTGTAGCCATTCGATTTCTTCACAAGCTTTCCATACACTTCTTACGGCAGCTAAAGATACTTTTGTCAACAAGGTATGCACCATTCACCCGCATGTGAGCAGTCCTTGTGAGTGCGGGGAGCCGCTTAATAATATTACTAGGTCGCTTCTTGAGCCAAATACCAAGGAATTTGATCCGCTCGAGTTAGAAACCCCTAAGTCACGAGCAAAAGCTCTTGCTGTATATTTTGCTGCTGTTTTGATAATCATCGCCCTAACAGAATCGGTTTCCTCTAACGGGGTCTACTTGGATCTGTGAATTTGATACCAGTCCACCGAAATCACTGGTTAGGACTGGCCGGTAACGAAGTGGATTGGTACCTTTCCAAAGGAGGAGACAAGAGCGTGGAGGGGTGAGAAGTGATTATAATATCTGTGCATCCATAGCACAGTTCTGTGCATCCATTGCACAGTATAAAGCGATGAATTTTGATTCCATTGTAGACCAAACTATACAAGTTTATTTTAGTGGATATCCATAAAATTGCACCTTCTTCAATGTAGAAAGTATATCCACTCAGAGAGTGAGAATATATCGAATATGATATCCAGTTTGCATCACAGTATTTAACTCATACATTAATCTATATATATAAAAAAAATAAGAATCGACATAAATCAAATATAGTAAGTATTTCTCGCCATTATGCATTAATTACATCCAATTATAGTAATTTTACACAATTCCTTAAAACAAATCTTGAATCATTAATTATTATCCGTTTTAACTTTCCTTAACAACCGGATTTATTGTTTTAAAAAGATACTCCATAATATTTTATTAAACACTAAATCCGGATGTTTGAAATCTATTCTATTAAAAAGCAATATAATTATAGAATCAAATGATTTAACCACGATTCAATCTTTTCAATTCAATCTATATCTGTTTTCAGACTTACCAATTCATTTTAATATAATATAAATTTGCTGTAAAAATGAGAATAGGACTTTACAATAATCATGGTAACAATACTAATAATAATAATACAAAAAAATTTTATTATTTGGACTGTACACTTTATTATATACATATAAATAACATATTTGAACTTTAAATTTTTTATTTCTTTCACATATAGTTATGCAATATATGCAACTTAACTAAAAGTAAAAAATATTGTAAAGATTTCATTTCGATCATGGTAACATATTTTTTAAAATTGCCACAATATACTATTCACTATTAGTTACACTACTCATGTAAACATATTTTTGTTTATATTATCATGATTATTTTTTTATCATTTTGAATCAATTTTTTATCAATTTATTTATGAAATATTTTTTTTCATTTAAAAACCGTGATTTATATGTCCTCCGATTCATTTAGTTTTGAGCTACAAATGAAAAAATATCGTTATTGTTTTACAAAAGATACAATCAAAATTCCAAATCTCTGTTAAAACATAACAAAAACAAAATTGTTCTCAATATTGGAATGAATTTGGCATAAAAAATGAGAATGATGGAAAAAAAAAAAGATATACTCAAAATACACACTTTAAGGTAACAACTTTTTTTGTATTCAATATAAAATTAAACTTCACATAAATCACATCTTTAGTATTTATCACAATATTACATATTGTCACTATAGTTTTATTTTGTGGTGTAACATTCCGAAAATCAACAAAAATTTGAAGGAATGAGTTGTCTATGCAATTCGCAATTACCAAGTGAAAAACAGTCTTAGTAAATATCGATCTACGGTTGCCAAGTGCAAAATAATATTGCATGAAAAAACAAAGAGGTATTTAATAATGTATGACTTTTCCATGATGAACATTTTACGATTACTTAAAAATGCTCTATGTATTATAACTTATTGATTAATAGCCATCAGTTATAAATTTTACCAAAATAAATACAACCTAGTTATTATAAAAATATATCCTCCATTTTAGAATATTAACTTTTTTATTTATATATCTTTTTTTCATATATGATATATCAAAATAAGCATCTTTTAACGATTTTTGATTTGATATACATATTGCATATATAATGTAAAAATAATTTCATATGTCTTTATAAATAAATATAAATTCATTAATCATACTAAATGAGAAATATCAATTAAAACTATAAATTAGTCTATAAAATAAAATAATTTTTTATTAATATACCATAAAAATCCATTTAAATATATTTTTTTATAGATCTAGAAAAAATATAGAAATTGAGTGACAACAAAAAATGAATATGAAAATACTCAAAATATTATGTCTCGACTTAAATAAAAATGATATAAAGTTTGAATGTTATTATCATGTTGTAAATAAAAAAATACGAATGAATATGACATTTGTATATATTAATTTATATTTTAAATCATCAAATTATAAATTTAAAATACTTTAAAATTAATATATAGAAAATCAATCATTACAATACAATAATGACATGATTGGTAAGAAGGGATGACATGGGAATGGAATGATCATTCCCTTACTCATTCCTTATCCCATGATTGGTATATTTTTTGAAAAGGAATGACCATTCCAGTCGGAATGTCAAAACCCATATCCATGGAATTAGCCATTCCATAGTTAATGGAAGGTTTTATCATTCCCATGTGTGCAGGAATCAAATTTTCAAAAAATAAAATTGACAAATAATAATAAAAAATAAATATATAATATATATTATAAATCATGATTAAAATATTTAAATAAAATTATTTTAAAAAATATAATTCAAATAAAAAATTAAAAACTTACTTTTATTTATTTTTTAATTAGATATATTAAATACTTATACATAAATAAAACTAAAAAAAAGCATTTATATATAACTGA